ATAAAACATTATCATAATTTGTTTATTATTTAATTTATCTTGTTATTATTTAATAACATGTAAGAGTATGAGTATAATAATATTATGCCGAGTGTTATTATATTTTTGATTTGATACTTATTATTGTGATGTTTGGCTTTAAGTATTCATGTTGAATACGATACACTATATTAATAAAATGAACATTGGCTTTGAAATTACTATTTGAATTGTTATGTATAATTAATAAATTATACATATTGTTAGAATTGTTTATTTTATTATTACTAGTACCTACTTCATAGACAATAAAACAAAGTATTTAAAAAAMAAATACATTTTATTGTGATTAATTTTCAAATTWATTATATTCAAAACATTTTTAATTACCATTTACTACCTATAAATTATTTCAACTGAGACTAAAATAAATTGGCAACACTACAATATTGTAATGTGGAACCTATTCCGGAACAAAATAATTAATGTTCTATCGGTGAGTTGTACTGAATGAAAGCCAAAGATATGTTTCGTATACGACAACGTTACTTTCCCATAATAATAATATTATACACATTTATACCTTKTGGCACATTTATAGCAAAACTCTTTTGAAATCGGATTGACCTTTAGTAATGATTACGCTTGATGGCTTGACGACAGATAAATGGTAAAAACGTTTGGCTTGATTGTATACTCRCATACCTTCCAGCAGGGATACATTTAAATGTTCAATTAATTTTAAATATAGAACTGTACGCGACCGATAATTGTGTAGGTACAAGATTTAAAGATTGTCTGTGTAAGCTATTAGACGCAAGTGCCTACTGCCCATACTGCCTGCAATGGRCACACCTATAACGAGTCATAAGTTAAAAGTCTCAAAGGTAGGAAAATCGATGAAAATAAYTAACTCAATTTAAATTAAGTGAACATAAAATCGTAATGTTAATATTAAAAATGTTTTTAAAAACATTTTTAATTTTAACTTGATGGATTAATTTTAAATCGACATTTGAATTGAATTAGATTAGGTTAAATTCAATCGAGCAAGTGATAGTTTGTTTTAGCAAAACATGATTTTTACAAATATTATAACACCAATAGACAGAGATTAACTTGATAGGTGCATAGAAAATGTTCATAAAAAATGCGCTCGACTCGTACTTCGCTCGCATACATTATCAAAATTTGGGAGCACWATCATAATTATTAGCGGAAATTCGTTTTCCCATTTGGTTTATATGATATTATATTTTATGACAGGCTATGCGGTTTGAGCGCGCGCAAATAGATTGAGATCGTGAAACCACTGAAACTTTAATGTACGATTCGCGTCGGCTGCTACGGAAAACGTATACACGCGGCCAACACGATATTAATAATAATAATAATAATAATAATAACATATAGTCATACTCTGCATCGAGTTTTGATTGTTTGCCGAATAAAATAATATACTAATATAACTATTTATTATTATTATTATGATTATGTATAATATATTATCGTTAAAATAATTATCATCTTAATCGTCGCGGTTGCGTTGCCCACCCGAGTGTTGTACATAATATAATATAATAATAATAATTGTAGGCCACGCGCGATCGATTTGWATGTACACTAATAATTGGCAATCGTTCAAACCGATTGTATTTGCCAAAAAGGAAACAGCTGCGCAGCGTCCAACACAACGATTTCCGGTCATGATTTTTTTCTTCTTATTTTTTACCATCGGCTGCACCGTCATCGCATTATTGTTTTAATCATATTTTATTTTTACGCCTATCCGACACGGCAC